TGCAATGCTTTATGTTGCCGAATGTTGGCCATTAAAAGAGAAGCATAATACTAAGTTAAGTGTGGCAGAGATGAGGATGCTCAGGTGGATGAGTGGCTTTACCCTTAGAGATATGATACGAAATGAGCATATACGTGAAAAGGTTGGAGTAGCTCCGGTAGAAGATAAGATTAGAGAGAGTCGCCTTAGATGGTTTGGTCACATAAAACGGCGGCCTTTCGATGACCCGGTTAGGAGAGTAGAGGTATTAGATTTGACTTATGTTAAGAAAGGTAGGGGTAGACCTAAAAAGACTTGGTTAGAAAATATTAGGAATGACCTTTCTTTATTAGATTTAAACGAGAATTTGACATTTAAAAGGACACAATGGAGAAAAAGGATTCATGTAGCCAACCCCACGTAGTGGGATAAAGGCTTGATGTAGTTGTTGTTGTTGAATACTAAAAATACAGATAATTTTAACATGTGAAATTTATATACAAAGAAAATTTAACATAAAAGAAAAATTTAGAAACATGATGATGGGGACATCAGATCATCATAGAAAGTTTACCAGCGACGTGGCCGCCGATCTACGACCACGATCGAGTCTTTATATTTTTGAGTCAATGTATTTTATTTTCATGCATTTTATTATTTGCTTATGTGTATTTTATTATTTCCCGTTGTACCCCTTTTTATGGGAGTAGTCATGTGTAAGCCTAAGGGCATTTGTGTCATTTTATTTGGAGTCTTTTGTATGAGGCTATTTAAAGCTCCCTTTGTATTATTTTGAGGTTAATGAATGATTATTGAGATTTCTTCCTGCACTTGTGTTTTGAGACCTTTGAGAGTCCTTTGAGAGTTTTGGAGAGATCCCGTGGAGAGGGAGATTGACGCATCACCCACCAACCTTGGAGACGACCGGGTTCGTGGTTCTTCTCGTTATCTTTTCATTTTTTCCTCATCGAACTTCCTCCACCTTCCACTCCAAACCATCTGCCTCTTCACTCAACCCCGTTTCCATCCCATCGAACTTCCTCCACCTTCCACTCCAAACCATCTGCCTCTTCACTCAACCCCGTTTCCATCCCAAACCCCACGGCCTCATCTTGGCCGAAGCCCCCTAGCCCCATAAACCGTCGACCATAGCTCCTTGCCGCCGACCACCTCCCTTCTTTCCCCTTTGATTTGTTTCCTATTTCAGATTTGGTATTATTTGGAGTATATTTGGATTTGAATTTCAAAATATTTCCAAATATATTAATTCTATTTTAGGAAAGTTTTTGAATAAGATCCCTTTGAGTATTTTCATTCAATTGGATTTAATTTAAAACTTTCCTAATCCTAGAACTTAAATTAGGAAGCTATTAAACTTTATTCACTAAGGTCCACTGGACCATCATTGCCGCCGGCCCCCTTACGGATAGAATAAGGAATTCTTTCCTAAAAGCTCAGCCCTTCTCTTTGGAAAGATTTTCCTTCCCCTCATCAGCCGAAATTCCAACATTCAAACTTCTAAATTATTTCCTAAAACTGTGAAGAGGAATAAGGAAATAAATCCAATTTTCTATCAACCTCCCGCTGCTCCTCTTCACGGATTTCCTCAGGAATTCTGTCCAGAATTGCTTGTTCTCTTTGGAGAAGTTTGGGATTGTAACCTGCTGTTGACTGGTCCTTCCCCAAGCCATCACCATGGGTTATCTCTCCCCTCTCTCCAACCACTACTTCTTCCTTAGGCCAAAGCATTGAATGTCTTGAGTTCCCTTCTTCCAAACACCTCCTCCGGCATCAAAATCTGAGAAATTTTCTCAGAAGTTTGGAGCCCAACCTGAATACGATTTCAGGTTTTGAAATCCGCATTTGGAAGAAACCATGGACGAAGACGTTAAAGGCATCGAATGACGGACCTCAACATCTTTTTGGCAAAGGTTTCTTTTCTCACTTGTATCTTATTTCTTCGAAATCTAAATTCTCAATTGGTTAGGTTGTATTCACGAAAGCTCCTCCAAGTGTTCTTGCTAAGCCTAGTCATTCGTAGGAATTGAGCGTGCTTTCTATGCATCATAACTCTTGTTGTTAGATTAGGGATTACATTGAAAACTACTACTTTGCGTTGTTTTACTTATCTTAATTATTTTGAAAAATTTTCAACGCCTGGAGCATGTGATTTAGCCTATGCAAAGCACCTCTTTAACTGTTTTAATTGACGTTGTGAATTGCTCATAATTTTATTCCTAAATTGTTCTAATCAAAGAATTGTGCAATGTTTAAAATGAAGCCATAAGCATATCTTCTAAGTAGTCCTGCATCACATGAAATTTACTTTAAATACAAGTACCGTAAACTCAAACGACGTTGCTTATACTCGAGGCGTCCCCTTAATCGACACCTAATGCTAAATGTAAATACAATCATACTAATCATTAATCATAGAATATTTTCAATAATCACTTTAATTAAATTCTATTTTCGGATTTATTAAAAATTTAATTTTTAAGAAACCTAAAATTCATTAATTTCATCTAATAATCATGCCGAACTTCCTCCTAAACCTAATTAATAATTAGGTTAACTTAAATTTATGGATTATTTATTAAAAAAATTAAAATTTTGCTAAAAACTTAAATTTCCACCATTACAAATCTCCCAATGTCATTATGAAAAAAAAAACGTGAAGGGTTTTCTAAAAAATATCACAAGTTATGAAAAACCCTATCTTTCTAATCTCAAAAAATTTTGGGGAAAACTTTGTTTTTATGAAAATATTTCCCCTAACATTCCCCATAAGTTTCCCAAAGAAATTTTAAGTTTTAACAAAACCCTAGAAATTTTCTCTTCAAAAAATCTAGAGAAAGAGAATGATTTTCTTAACTTAAAACATATCTTAGTATTTTCTTAATCTTCCTCTTTGATTTCCCCCAAATCCAGCCGCCGGAAACCGCCCCCAAAACCTCCTGTCGCCCTCTCCTGTCCGCGCCTCTTCTCCCTTTGGTTCGGCCGAATGAAACAAATGTAAGAATGGGGAGGGATTCGATCTCTTCATGATTTAGGGAGTTAGGGATTTTAAAATTACTTATTTGCTCTTGCATACTTATTTTCGTTTTAATATCATTAAGGTTATTTAAGTAATTATCCATATTAGTTAAAAACTTCGTCGATTTTTAATTCCCAAACTAATCAAAATTCACTATAGGTTTTTATACCAATTTGCTCGAAATTTTGCATATAATTTTATAAAATTAATTTCGTCGAAATCCGATTGATATGAAAAATTCATTTAAATTTCATCGTGACGCATCGATATGCGTGCAACGCTTACGATCAACGATTTCAGGTTTTACACTTTAAATAAATGTTGATGCATTCATCAGCTTTGCATAGATTTGAGTTCATAGTGTGTGAGGAGGAAGAGTTCAACATATAAAAAAACCTTGAAAGCCCCTAAAACATGAGGATTTTTAATTTCACATTTAGAACTAGTGAAAATAAAATCATCTCTTTATAAAACATATTTTTCATCTTCAAGCAACCAAATGAGCCTTAAGTAGCATTGAATGTTTCATGAGTAATAGTGGAATAAATTTGTTCTGTGCTTTGCATGTATTTATGAATTAAATAATGAAAACAAGCAAATAATAAGAAGACATTGATTTATGAGAGTAAGGGGATTCAAAAAAGGTGTTGTCATATGTTATTGATTGTAGAACAATGATGTTCCAGGTGAATGGTTCACCTTCTTATTATATTTATGCATAGCTTTTTTTTTTTTTTTTAAATTCTCTAAAAATAACTTGGATGGATGTGATTAGTCAGGAAAATTTGTATATGAAATAATACTAAATAGAATATTGTTGCTTGCACCCATCTATTTGGCCCTTTATCAACACCTCTTATCTTATATTTCATTTAAACATATGCACGCGATATCTCTAAAGCCAAAAGCCTCCTCTTGGTTGTGCCGAAGTAAAATATGAAGGCATTAGACAATGCACATTATTATGAGCACCTCTTTTGGCAGTCATCTACAATAGAGTGCCATTATGCAACTTTTGTGACGTGATTTTTAAGAGGGTTTTATGGGAAAACACAGGTCGTAGTAGAAGTCATGTGAGTGCATCATCCTTTTAAAAGCTTATGCGTGCACTTGCGATCAGTTATAGCTTGATCAAGCTCTCATTCTTAGCATTTTCATTATCCAATGCCCATCATCTTATTCTTCAACATCATTTAATCTTTATGATCGAATCCCTTGTCAATTTTGTGTCTTAACAGAAGAACCCCCTACTCCCACCCTCTTTGCCTTCTCTACTGTGATTTAATAGTTTGTTATGAACATCTACGGCACCTAAGATTTTGTGATGATGTGCAGCCTTTTTCATTCATCTGGTATCCTTTTAGAATTCAACCACTATTGCTGTTGTTAAACATAGGATTTGAAAGAATGGGTTGTCATTGGCTTTAAAGCTCCTACCAAACGCCCTTGTGGGAGAAGTTCTCACAAGTACTATTGTGGATGTTGGCTTTCACTGTTCAGGGCCAATTATATACACCCTTGTGGTGTTCAATTCATGCATTTTACATTTCACAGGTATACTGAGTGGACATGATACATGGACTCAAATGTCTGACAATTGTTTTTTTCCTATGGATCTGTTGTTGATGTATAATCCACTGAATTGTTGATTCCATGGTCATGTTCAGATTCCAGGAATATGTATTGAAACTGCCTAGCATTTATTTACACAATTAATCTGATTCACTTTTAATTTGATATAAAAAGTTCTTAGTAAACATCAAAGCAACAGAAATAATAATGCTCTTTGTAAATCCTGTGAGCTTTAATGGTTATGCATACATATAAGGCTTTATGAAGTTTATTTAGTTGAATAATGACTCTGCAGTGCAGTCCGTGCATTACATGCATGATTTTAATTCTTTAGTTAGTTCTATTAACTTTGGAGGCTTGCTTGGTGTTTTTTGGGCTTTAAGCTTCAATTTTTTTGTCTCTCGACTGATAGGTTAGGATCCATGGCTATGTTGAGAAGACTAAGAAACGTGGGAATAGAGTGTGCCAAGATATCATTTTTACTAAAGAGCAGCAGAAGCGACGAAAACTTGTGATGAAGTTGATCAAAATGAAAAAGCTGGTTGACGTTCAGAAACTATTGAAAGAGGAGATTCATATGGAACCTTGGGGACGAGATGCTCAAGCCAAGGTTTGTGTATCTCTCTCTAGCTTTGAAATATTAGACCATGATTTTGGTCTCTTTTTCTGTAACTGAAACTTGTTATCTATGCAGTTGGGAACTCGGTTGATTGAACTATTGATAGAATCAGCATTTGTGCAGCCACCAATTAACCAATCAGGTGACAGTTCACCAGATATTCTGCCAGCTTTTAGGCACATATTAAAAGCTGTATCAGTTGAAGATGGGTAAGAAAATATGTCTATTATCCTGATTCTATTCTGCTGAGATTATTGAAACTGTATTCATTCTTTATTTTTTTGCTTTTTGAATAGAAAATTAAAGAACAAGTATGGAGTTATTGAATGCCATCCATTAGTTCACATGGGACTTGGTAGCACTGTATGTTTTTCTCAACTTTGTATATTTATAATTTTGACCGGTCATACTTTCTGTGTCAAGTCATAGCATTTATTTGAGTTTAATCATGTATCTAAACATTTGCCTATATTGGATTAGTGTTTTGTATTTTAGGCAGGTTGTTTTTCTTCTTATTTTTTTCCCCAATGAGCCCACCCACTCGTAATGTAGCTGGTTCAGCAAACCAAAAGCATAAGCGGGACGTCTGTGCAACATTTCTATTTCTATGTTTGGTTGTATCTTACGCTGTATTTTTGTAAGCTTAAAGTGTGACTTGTTTGTTGTCTTCTTTATCTTTCTTTATTCAGGCCAGGCTGATGGTGATTCCTTACCTACCAATGTTGATACCACCTAAAAAATGGAAAGGGTATGATTAAATGCATATCGTTATAATCTACTTAACGCTATGCATTTTCATTTTTTATGGTATACAGTATGATCTCTTTGAACACTACAAGATTGCTTCAACTAAATAGTGCATACATTGTCAAACTATGGAGTACTGTTCGCTCCCATATCTTTGTTTAGCTATTTCTGGATATCCATGCAAAACTCATACACGGTTTAATATTGTTAAGTATGTTTTCTTAGTGAGAACTCAGATTGCTTTCCGTTCACTTGTTTATGTCTTTTGATTTTTTCTGATCAGATATAACAAGGGCGGACATTTATTCTTACCTTCCTATGTGATGCGTACCCATGGAGCCAAGGACCAACAAAATGCGATTAAGAGTGTTCCTAAAAGGCAGCTAAATAAAGTTTTTGAGGTCTGTATTCCTTCTTGCCTGAAACAAATACTTCTTTTATTGTTGTTTAGTCAATTACTTTTGCTGTTTCTTGCTTCAGTTGGTTCTTTTTTCACAATTTTGAAGTCATTTCTAACTTGGTTATTGCCTTTCCAGTTTATGTTATATAAGCATGTTAATTGTTTTCATCCTTGATTAAATCAAAATTTAGTTTTCACTTAGCTTACCAGTTGGACTTGATTCACTACTATTGTCATACTTACCTTTCTCCATCCAATTTCATATTTGAATGGCTTGCTTATGCATGGAGGGCTGATGAGATTGTTTCCCGCACATTTCTTAGTTCCACTTGATTATGTCTTTGTTTGAAATTGCAGATATTCATTGCAGAAGTTTTCAGGAAGTATTTTATAAATTGACAGATATTGATGTTTTGTTAAGGAATAAATTTTAAGATTAAACCATAGTATAAAGTTTTATGATTAGGTTACTCATATTCTTTTATAGGTTAGCATCATCTATATTTGGGGTTATCTTCCTTTTGGAAACAACAAAGTCATTTCCGTGGCATCTCATATTCATCCCATTTTAGAAAACTTCTTCCTTCTTTGGCTGATAACCTTTTGCTTTTTTTTTTTTGTAGTGCATCAATGTAGCCTTGGTGTTTTCCCTATGTGGCTTTGTTATAAATAGCTCTTATTTAGTGATGTGGTGTTAGTTTTGTGTGGAATCTGATTGTGTCGATCAATTATGTTGTACTATTGCCTCAGACCTCAATTCAATATGTTGAAGTTGCGGGGGTTACATGGAGTATTAACCCTGTTTGGGTTTTGGTGACTCGGCGTTGCATTTCTGAGCACCTCATCATTGGGCACCCGAGCACCCCAACATTGCAAATCTGATTGCTTTGGCGTTGTATATTTTTATGTCTGAAAAAGACAGAATTGAGCGTTACGGAGCTTCGAACTACAACTCCGCGACGCTGTCAGACATACTGAATGACAAAGATTTGAGCGCCGTGGCGCTCCAAACTGGCATCGTGGCGCTGTGGGGCGGGCTAACATTTTTTCTTTATCGTTTTTCATTAAGGGTGTCGTGCCTTGGTGGTTGTTGCGTTGCACATCTCTTGGTTAGTTGTAAGTTGAGAATGGTGGAAGAGAGAAGAGAAGCAATGAGAGAGTGAGAGATAAGAGATATATGTAGTTTTTTCTCTCAATTTTTATAGTGGATTTCTTGGGTGGTGTGGCTCCATGGTTTTATCTCGATTTCAGGTTTTTCCATGTTAAATTTGTCTGTTCTTTATTTTCGCTGCATTTAATCTTTCTTGTTTGTATTCATTGCGTGATTTTACTTCCCCCAACCCCCCAATATGTGTTTGATTGTTGACCTCAATGTGTTATCCAAAGGACAAAAAAAATCAGCTAACCTGTAAGCCGTTGGATCCACGATATCTGCCCGAAATCCCGACTGAAATCCCGAAATCATGCAAGGAATCCCGCTGAATCCTGTAAGCTCGGCGCCGTTGCGTCGCTTCTCCGCGAATTTCGCTCAAACCCCGCTCGAGGTCGCTCTATTAGCGTCGTTAAATACCCGCTGCTCTTCGACTCTCGACTCTCTTCCTGCGCTCGATCTCCACTGTCGGGCTCTTCCACTCTCCTACACGACCGAACCCCCTTCCTCCTCCGACTCCACACACAGAGCCGGAACTCTGCTCTGCTCTCCGAGCTCCATCTCGACGTCCTCCCCTTGCTCCATTCGGCCAAATCCCGTGAGAGAGAGGGAGAGAGTTCCGAGCCTTACCTGTGCCGACTGAGGCTCCTGATCTCATTTCCCTAGTCGCCTCCAACCCGCCACCTCGAACTCCCTCTGACGACGTCCCTTCTTGCTCGGATCAGAAGTTACGACATTCTGAGCGGAAGTAGGGACGGGAGTTTGCTGGCTGTGAAGGTAATTTCCTTTCCAGTCCATTGGAAGCCACGACACCTTGGATTGGAAGCAACCGCAGGAACTCGCTTGCTTTGAACATTCAACGACTCGCCCTTCCTGTTTGATCGGACATTACGACATTTCGATCAGAAGCAAGAATGGGAGCTGCCCGGTGTGAAGAAAACTTTCTCCCTTGCGTGCGCCTCTTCCCCGACTTCTTCGTGGCTGCTCGACTCTGCTCTCCTGACGGCATTCCCTTCGTTAGATCGAAAATTACGCCATTTTGATCGGAAGTAAGAACGAGTGCTCGCTTGCTTTGAAAGAAACCTTCTCCCTTTCGCGTCTCCTTCTGTGCCGGCCAACTTCACACCTTCCACGACATTCCCTTCTTGTGGACCTGAAGTTACACCATATTGATCGGAAGCAACCAGGGAGCTCGTAGGCCGTGAAGGTAATTCGCTCCCTTTCACGCGCCTCTTCGGCCAAATCCCGCAAATCCGCCGAGCAGAGGGATTTAAGTAAATTTTTTTTATAAGTAATATAAAATAATTTTAATAATAATTATAATAATTAAGTATAATTAATTATAATTATTATTTTTAATTAATCATAATTTGTAAACTAATTATTATTAATTAATTATATTTTATTAGAATTAATTAATATTAAGTTATAATTAATTTTAAATTAATCATAACTTATTGTTTTAATTAATTTTAATTAATTATTCTAATTAATTACAAATGATTAATTAAAAATAATTATTTAATTAATTGTATTTAATTGATATTGATTATAATTAATAAAAAATGTGTCTTGCCTTGTCTCAGTCCACGAGCCTTCACTGCTGACAACCCCGCGAAGGTACGAATTTTCTTAACTCTGATTCTTGCTTTCGTTGTATGTGTTGGACCGGCAAACCACCTATGCACGCCTTTATTGCGCGTGGTGGGATGGGACCCTGGTGCGGCGCCTACGATGAGTAGGGATGTCAATTTTTGACACGGCCCGAAACCCGACCCGAACCTGACTCGGAAAAATCCGGGACACGACCCGAACCCGACCCGGAAAAATATGGGTTTGGGTTGAACAAATCAACCCGTTTTAAAAATCGGGTCGGGTTTGGGTTGACCCAGCAACCCGAAATTGACTCGAAAGTGACACGAAAACTCATATTTGACCTGAGAACCCGAGATTGACCCGATTTTGACATGAAAATCAATTATTGACCTGATTTTGACCTGAAAATTAGCAATTTTAGGTCAACTTCGGGTCATTCGTTTTGGGTCGGGTTGACCCGGACCCGAATCGGGTCGGGTTGACCCGGACCCGAATCGGGTCGGGTTCGGGTCCAGAAACCTAACCCGTTTTTAAAAACGGGTCGGGTTCGGGTTGACCTGAACAGTGCCGGGTCAGTTCTGGGTTCGACCTACTGACCCGAATTGACACCCCTAATGATGAGGCGGGTAATCACCTAAAAACCCTACTTCAATGTTCGTGGCGGACCGGAAAATCGCCCATGCATGCCTTTATTACGCGTGGTGGGATGGGACCCCGGTGCGGCACCTACGACGAGGCGGGGTCGCTCATAAGTACCCTCGAGTTGGGGGAAAGCAAACTATTTTTTTAAACAGATACCGTCAAAGATCCCATGCACGCCTTTATTGCGCGTGGTGGGAAGAAATATCACGGCCGTGGTGTCCTCGTCCGAGGACACCTACCATGCACGTCTTTATTGCACGTGGTGGAAAATGCCCAGTTTTTCGTAGTTTTTCCCTAAACGGGGAGACGTCGGGAGGCTACCGAAATTCGGGTGGAATCATATTGTACTCGGACCTATTTGAACTCAAAAAGAACAAAAGATGGACTCCAGTGGACAATGACTTGTGGACTTTTGAACTTGATTGAACACGAGCAGGGGACATGTATAAAACTTAAATGATTTCTAAAGTTCATTCAAATAAAATGAAATTAAACTGAAACAAAAAATCAAATCATTTGAACATGAAAATGAACTTGTAAAGATTTCATAAATTGTGGACATAACACTTGAACTTGTAAGCATTTGACTCAAATTCAAATGATAATGTGCAATTAAACTCAAAAGGAGAGCAAGGAACTTAAACTGAACTCAAGCTGGATCCAAAATAGGGACTTGAGTTTGAATGGGATGCCAAGAGTTGAACCCATAACGACATACAAGACTCAAGCATGAGTTAAACCTTGAACTCGGGTCTGATGAAATACATAGGATCAGGGCTTTGGATGAATGAACAAATCAGAGTCTAAATGCACAGTTCTCTAAGCTAACAACAAGTTGCAAGTGGGTGATGAAACCCCGATGCACATGAAAGATGAATGTAACGAACTCCTACGACAATCCCTACATATGCCTGTAGATTGAGATGGCAATACCGGCATTCAATAGCGAAGGCCCGTCCCTACGAACAAATACAATCAACAACCCACCTGAGATTGGTGAAAGGTGGATATGATGTAGAAATAATGGGTCTTCTACAAGCACTTCCAGGAGGTTGTAGTGGATATAATGATTTCTTGCAAATGAATACTTATGGATAACAACAGTGTATTATAAGTACAATGAACCACTATGGACACAAGTACAAATATCACCTACGATAGTGGTGATCAAGATCTTCAAGTACGTCGGGTACAAGGGCAACTCGATGTACAAAAAAGAACACCTCCTAAAGGAATGGAAGAGTTGTTTGAGCAAATTCGAACTAAACTTTCTGGTGTTTCAAATTTTTTTTTGATCCTGCACTTAAGAAGAAGACAATTCTGACATCCACAAATATCAAAAATATCAAGTCTACTACATTGAAGATCTTAAAAGGAGTCCCTTTCAAGGCAGTGGCCACGAACTTCAAGGAATACCTCCCCGGTGAATGGGAAAGGGGGAGTCAACATCAAGACCTTCTCGCCACCGGATCCGCAACAGTCGTACTAGCGGACATAAAGCGTGTATAAGCTCTCAAATGAAATGTTGTGTGTTCAAATGACAATTTCCTACACAACTAAAATATTTCAAAATACCCCTGCACGTACACCTTAGCTTGTATACACATACGTAC